TCTGAGTTATTATCTCGTCTGGCCGCTGTCCGAGCGAGCCGTGACAGCGTGCCGCCGCCATCACTCTGATGGTGCTCTCTGACAGATCTGTCATGTTTGATGGCCAGAAACGAATCATGATGTTATGCAATACCTATGCCGTATGTATGCATAGTGCATACTGCATGAGCCCACTGAGTACGAAAAGAGCAAATGCATTGTTTGATATCATGGACTAGACATCGTGATGATTATTACAGATGACGTTTTAGTTATGTCCCAATCCAATAAATACTTTAAATGAATCTCAGATATTTAATATCGGTAACCAAAGGTCAAGCTATTTTTGACATCTTCGACGTCTGCATCATAGGTCAACGGAAGAAAGCTAGACCTGGCGTTTGTTTCTTACGAAATGCTCTCAAACTAAACGCAGCAGTTAGCGTTGCGCCTCCCTGAATGCGTTTCTTCCTTAACGTTCCAGGACATTTCTATCAAGGTTCAGTTATGCAAGCTTCTTCGATCTATTTGCAGTGATGAGACTCGTGTAAATAACCCAAACGCTCAAATCCCATCATTGCTTTCTTTCCCAGAGTTCAGTCGAATAGAGCCTCACATCTGCAGACGGTTGAGGGTGGGACATTAACATCTGTCACGGTACCTCTCTTATCGAGCGTATCTGCCTGTGCACCATCAGCGTCCCCCGGGTCACTTGGGGACCATCTTCCCAGACCACCTGTTCCCACAGGAGGGGGCGGGCAGCTGCCTAACGGATTCCCCTTCCCACACCACGCCGCCTACGATCCACAGCACCGCTTACGATCTGTGACACCGCTTATGATCAGTTCCGTAGCCCAGTAAGAGCTAAGGGATCATGGGGACGGACCCGGGTCTGGGGTAAGTTCGGTCCAAATGAAAATTATGCGTTCAAGCTCTGAGTCTAAGGCATCTGATTCAGATCTTCGGGTCTGAGTCTAAATCCGAATCCCAATTCGAACCTCGCTAAATATTCTCTAATTTGCTATCATGGTGCAGCAGAGGCGACCGAATCAGATCAGTCGTTCGTAAGATCTCTGACAGTTCCGTCGATCCTACCCACCTGGTCTGACCCTGGCAATGACGTCATGACCTCTACATCATGGCGGGCCGGCCTCACACAGACGGCGGCATACAGCTGGTAATTATGCAGGTCATCGGTCTGGCCGGCTTCCAGGGATCATCGGAGCCGCCAGCCGTCAACCCGATAACGCGCCCCGACGGCCACCCCGTGACCCTGTCCGAACGAGCCAGGCGTGAACGAACGGCATTTCTCCGCTCCCCTTCCCCGCACCGACCCCTTTTCCCCTCTACTCCGGGCCTAAAACGGCGGAGGGGTCGCAAGGAAAAGCTACAGCGATGGCTGTAGTATCTTGTAGTATTCAGCTATTAGGAGCAATAACGCAAATTTACCGAGCCTGCTATGAACACGATCAGCTAAAATGCTTCGAAAATAATGTTCCGCTATCGACGTCTGTCTCTCCAATTCAGACATTCTGCGGCAGCATTTCGGCTGACGGCGGCGCGGCCGAGCGAGCTGGCCTTTCGGTTGTCGTCGCCCTCTCAGCTCAAGCCGCATCCATCATGCATCTGCCGGCGCCAGATAAGGATGACGGCTCGCTTCACGCCCGCTGGATAGTCGAGAGGGTCGCCGTCCTTCTGAACGGCGCTTCCATTATCTTTGTAGAGCGACGCCGCCGCTTTCGAACGAATAAGATAGCCTTATTGAAACGCCATCATTGTGTGGTGCCAATGCGCCTGGTATGGAGATGAGACGCGTGAACTGAGAACTTTTAAAGTTCATACGTTTGCATCTGATATCATGAAATTGACCGACAATCTTTACAGACTGCTGTAACATGGGTCAGTGTGCGTCTCGTGCTATGCATTACAAAAGGCTCAACGCGCCTTATCAAAATCATTGACGACTCTGCCTAAGTTATAACAGCATTATTCCAGTGTTATGTTGCGACTGATGTGTGGTTATTATATCTACAAACTAGCTAAGGCTTACATGGCATATTTTTTCTTATGCTTTCTCCAGAAAACAATTTTCGACTGCCCTCAGTGTGCTGTTGCGCTGGCAGTCGAGTGCGCTGAGGTAGACTGTCCCGCCCAGCACCGAGGCAGCGCGGCACAGTCTGCCTATCCAGGGCTCCGGCTTTGGAACGATGTGATGCAGATATGGCACGGTATGTTAGTGGAAATGTGAAAAACTGTGCACGTACGACAATCTGAAAACTTCAAGAATTAACCAGAGCGGGTACCCGCTATGAAAAAATATACGTTTGTGGTCATCATTGACGAATGGTAAATGCACATTGCAGTTCATTACATTTTAAAACTATCCTTGAAAACACTGAATCGCGGTTTCATCGACTATGCAGCTATGCTTTACGAGGCGCTGTTATTTTTCCACAAGTTCAAGCGATCGCAGAAACTTCCTCTGACGTTTTATCCCAAAAACTCATCGCGATGCTCCTTAATGCGTTATTTGTTCCACATCGCCATCTTTTAGCGTAAACAAGGCTCGCAAAAACTTCCGCGCTTGCCACAGCGCCGTTTCGGGCACCCATCATACGGAAGCACTGCAGCATATGGTGGCCCCTCCGAATGACGACGATCTGAGCGGACGACCCGCCACGTCCCACTTCGCGTCCGCTATTGAGCCGGGGCGAATGTTTTCGCTGGGCGGCGAGGCAGGGGTTGGGGCCGGGTCTGGGGCCGGGGTGGGAGGCAGACCTCCGGCTGTCAGTTGGAGAACACGTCTTGTCATCACCAGTCGGCCCCCGCGGCGACCCAAGCCAATCATCCCTCTCGGGTCGCTGGAGCCGATGCGGCATACCGTTTACTGGCGTTGTGAACAGCAGTTGCTCGGTGCCCGTGACAGTGATACACTAGCAGCAAATAAATGGAAAGGCAGCTGAGGAAAAATCATGCCTAAATCTGCAAATTGCGATCTTGGTTCTTCCAACCGCTACAAAAACTATCACCGGAAGCACCAAACAAACAGAAATTGTGAAGAATAGATGCCAAAATATAGTATCATCAGCGTCGCTCAGCATCATTGGTGTGATAAACTGTAGTACTTAGCCCACTCTCTACAGAGAGCATCCACCGGTATACCGTGATGTTTACTTCTATTGTGCGCGTTCTCCTGAAGAGAAATGGACGTTCGGGAATACGGTCGGCGTAGCGGCCATCGTTTATTCCCGTTTGGTGTAACACTGATGGAGAGACGCCGTCTCGGCGGGCGGGGAGAGGCCTTGCGGACACCGCCTCCTCTCACCGCCGGCTGGAGTGGGCGGAGGCGGAGGACAGCTCCTCTGAGTGTCACCGGGGGTCCATCTGGGAGGTTTGGGGGCCCATCCCCTCTTCTGACGGAGACTGTGAGCGGCCCGAGATCGCACCACATCCATCGGCCAGTCCGCCGGCACGGCGCGCGCCTCCACTCCATCAGACTCGCTGCTCGACGCCCGCCGCCCGCCGCCCTCGCCCCCGCCCGACGCTGCCGGCGTCAGACAGCGGTGCGAAATCAGCATCGCTCGTCGAGGAAACGGATCCGGCTGCTTGTACATGCATGCTCGCGCGCGGCAGGGAGAGACGAGAGGTCTGAGGGAACGCCCCGCGGCGCTGACGCGAACGGAGAGAATGCAGCTCCCTCCCGCCGGCAGGGAAGGTGATCGGAATATACAATTACCCTGGATGAGGCTAGTTGTATGGGAGTGACCAGATGGGGAGGATGGTCGATTAGATCGATACAGCACTGCCTATCTAATTCAATGATCGTTAATGAAGACAGGGAATAATTTATATAATCATTTATTGTAAATTGTAATGCGCACATTCAACGAGAATTAGTTATCCAAACACAAAAAGGTACCATTGTAATTTAGGAGCTGCAAGCACCGCTAGCGTTTTTACGCAAACACATCTCAGCACAAAGTTCAGGCTAACTAGTTGGGCTGCACGGTTTATCATCAAAGGCTTGAGAAGGGTTGTTTACTACGCAATACGCATTCATTCTACGTGGTCCCATGGGAAGTAATATGATAAAACGGTTAATGGTTAGTTGGCTCGGCTAAATGCCTACAGACCGAGGTGAGGATGGGCATTGCAGATGAGGCCACCATTCCAGCTGACTGCATTTCCGTAGTGCAACATAATTGGTGCATGCATAAATGAACAGATACGGAAGCTCAGAGAGAAATTGCTCACCGAGTCTAGTTTGTTTCCCTGCTAATGATAACTAATAAGACCAGCTCATTGTACACAACACACTAGCAATTGTCGTCCAGGGTAATGGTATTTGAATGATAAATGATCCAATTTATTTACTCAACGCTAATGATGGCTGCGTTTTAGGAGTTCGATCTCACTTCTGCAGCCTACTGGTGGGTATTTGATGTATTCAGCAGCATCGGTCGGCTGACTCAGCTTCTCTAAAAGGCCCAGTGTGCGGTGTTGCCGAGCTAATTCCACTAATCTCGGCCACGATCCTAATTGGCTATTAATTACCCGATTTTTGCCTAAATGTACGGTTTGAATTTGTGATGATGTGTTCCTTCCTCTGTAATTTACGAGCAATGCAGAGACACTTATAATTAGCGTTAACTTGTTTGTCTTTTTTTTCCTGTATTCTCCGTTAATAAGGCCATAATGTTTGGGTGATTATCATGAAGCATATTTTTTCTCAAATAGTTGCATATAGGTGTGAGCACTTGTTGAACAATGAATAACTTCAAGATATAATAGAGCACAAAAATAAAGCAGAGAAGTTCATCTTATACCAAATATAGGTACAATCTCAGTTGTTTTCCTCACAATTTTCTCGGCACTGTATTAACTCCATCGCCTCGCGGGCACGGCGTCTTGTTTTCATTCTGGAGCATAATCGCTGCGATTTGGTGTCAACTGGCAATTTTCCGGCGGCGCGGCTGGCGCTGGCCGCGGGCTGTGACGAGCGCCGCTCTGGTGCCCGGCAGGAAACTTTTGGCGGCCGCTGTGCGCGCCAACATCACGGACCGCTTCCTCTGGGTGGGCAGCGACTCGTGGGGTGCCAAGGTGCACCCGGTCAGGAACCAGGAGCACGTGGCCGAGGGCGCCATCACCATCCTGCCCCAGCGCACCCCGCTGCCCGGTGAGTCCGATATGACGCACGCGAGATAGATGGGATGCCGGAAGGTGCCTGCACGCCTCCATTCCAAAAACTGTGCTGTGTGATACAACCACAAAATATGTACTTCAAAACACTTATGTTGGCTTTTAAGTTATTTCTGACGAGTTTTAGCTGCCAATCTAAAGCTATCAAAGCTACTTGTTTTCTTAGTTTTTTTGCCGTTTGCCTAAGATATTTCCGCATCTAGAGTCCTGGGCTAATTATTGTAATGCTGATAACCTCTGATATTGGCTAAATATAAATTACAAATTTAAAAGAGAGAAATAACTATTCGAGAAGCCTTCGGCATTTCGTTATCATCAGCCCACTGCACAATTTGAGAGCTAATGATGGCGCAATATCAAAAGCTTTTCGAAAAGTCGCTTTCTTTCTTTTGCATTCGGAATATACATATATGCAGGTAGCGTGAGAGTTGGGTTATTTTATTTACTATTTTTAGCTAGGTGTCTCAAACTAGCGTTAAAGTATATTCAAGTTCCTGAAGTAATTAAAAGAGTTCATTAAAAAACATTTTAACGTCAATGTTGGCAAGATGAATCATTAAAATATAATCGTGTTTGACAGGGTTCGACAAATATTTCCGCTCCTTGCGGCCGCCGGTGCGGGAGGACGACTGTATCGGAGGCCAACCACGGCGACCGCACATCAACTGCCGCGACATCTGGTTCCACGAGTTCTGGAGCCAGGCCTTCAACTGCACATTCGACCGGAGGGAGCGGGGCGTGCGCCGCTGCACGGGCAACGAGACGCTCACCAAGTACAAACAGGAGGGACTCGTGCCGTTTGTAGGTGAGTGACGGGACGGAGACGGGACGGAGACGGGACGGAGACGGGACGGAGACGGGACGGAGACGGGACGGAGACGGGACGGAGACGGGAAGGAGACAGGACGGAGACGCGACATAGGCGGGACGGAGACGGGACGGAGACGGGACGGAGACGGGACGGAGACGGGACGGAGACGGAGGCGGAGATGGGACGGAGACGGAGGCGGAGGCAGAGACGGGGACGGAGACGGGACGGAGACGGGAAGGAGACAGGACGGAGACGCGACAGAGACGGGGCGGAGACTGGACGGAGACGGGACGGAGACGGGACAGAGATGGAGACGGAACGGAGACGGGACGGAGACGGGACGGAGACGGGAGAGACGGGACGGAGACGGGACGGAGACGGGACGGAGACGGGACGGAGACGCGGCGGAGACGGGGGTTGGTGCCTGGTGGTACTGGTAAGTGGAATCGGTTGTCTGAGGCTGGCCCGAGAGTGCATCAGATTGGTTCCGCGAACTGGGCCACATGCATGGTACTTACCGGGACGGTATTTGCAGAATTCAGGTCGATGAGAAAGACGGAGCAAGCCTGCTGTTCCCCGGCATTGCTATATGCTGAAACAAGCAGGTCCAGATTATAAACGCTTGCATGTGTATATATTGTGCAGTGTGTGCACTGTGCATTCATTTGGAACAGGTAACAGATAAAGCTACGATTGGAAAAGGATTCATACCGATACGCTGATAGGCTTGTATCATATCTGTTCTAATAATCTGTTCGTGTAGTTTGTCCTTTGATGGTTTTAGAAGGAGAATAAACTTTAGTAAAAGACATAAAACCGCGTTCATGAGGTTGTGATCATTATTCAAGTCAGACCGGTTTCGTTCCACAGTGAGAACATCTTCAGTGACAATATAAACAGATATGTAAGTTACATGTTTTGATGGGATGATTACCCTGACACAATATCGAAATTATTTGCACACACATATGCACACATGCAAAACTCAGTAAGTACACTTCTTCCAGGTGGAGAATTGTTCTACTTAATGATGACGACGCGCGACGGTGATACAAATGCACAGTGCACATGAGAGCAGTTGCACACCATTGGGTACACACATCATAGAGCTAAGCGGTGACATTGAGAGGATATGCCGATGAAATGTCGTTTATTTTTGGTCGCAACCGAAAGATGTATAGTGATTCTAAAATTCTTAAATCAGGGAACGAGCTGTTCGTACCCAGAATTTCAAAATTATCAATCGTAAACGGAGCGTCACATGATAACGCATGATCTCTAATGGACGAAACTGCTGGGGTTGATGACATCAGTCCGGTACGAGGAGATCTGCCTTGGTGTTGAGCCACTCTGGTGAATAAACGTTGATACGTGGAACCAACGTATGACGCCTGGCATGAGGCGCAACTAAATTTGTAAATGACACAATATATTTATATTGTGTTTATATTTATTTATACTGTTTATATTGTCACTGAAGATGTTCTCACTGTGGAACGAAACCGGTCTGACTTGAATAATGATCACAACCTCATGAACGCGGTTTTATGTCTTTTACTAAAGTTTATTCTCCTTCTAAAACCATCAAAGGACAAACTACATGAATTGATAGTCCGCGACTACGGCAGAAAACGTCTGAAGGATGTGTTCTCCTACATTGCAACGGAAAAGAAAAAAGAAAAATGTATCTTAGATCATAAGTTTCTTACAACATGCAAGACCTATGGCATCTTCCCGAAGTTTCTTCGCTTCAAACTGTACAGGAAGTCGCTTCGCAATCAGTCATTTTACCGATCATGGCAAGCCCAGTTACTAGATCAAGAAATTAAACTAAAACAACGAAGAGTTTTAGAACTTCGAGACTCTTGCTCAAGCCAAAGAAACTCACTGCGCCAGTCCCTTTCATTTTTGAAATTTCATTGGCTCTCTGATCATGTCCGCTCTCTATTACGGACGTTCGTCAAAAAGCAAGAAAATGTTCACTTGCAGAAGTTGCAGCGCATCGGAATTCATGGTGACTGTCAGCCCTGTGACCCGGAAAAAGTCATCTTTAATCTATCGTCAAAACCAGTACCGAGAAGAATCAAGTTCCTCCTCGCCTTCGGCCTGGAGTTCAAACTACCGGTGTGGAAGTTGAACTTCTATAACTATTTTTTACATTTCGAAAAGCTAGTTCTGTCCGTATCCAAGCTACCGCTTCCACAACGTTTCACCTTCCAAGATGTCAAGACCAAGATACGAAATATTTGTCATAAACACTTTCATGGCTTCAAGCCTTCCAAAGTCTTCTCTTCAATTTTCTCGAAAGAAGATGTCGCCTCACTTCGAGAGTGGGCTACCGATCCGTCTATTGTTGTCACCAAGCCGGACAAAGGTAGGGGTGTCGTGATTCTCGATAGGAGTGAGTACGTTGAAAAGATGTCCACTGTTTTAGCTGATGACTCGAAATTTTGCTTGATAAGCGACTCTGTTGATAAGCCATCGCTTCAGTCAGGTTCCATACACAAAATCATGTTACAAGTTGAAGATAAAGTTAATAGGTTGTTGGGTAAAATGAAGAAATTGGGTATGATCTCGAAGGAACTGTACAGCGACTTATTCGCGTCCGGCTCCGTCCCAGGAGTTCTCTACGGGCTCCCTAAGGTACATAAGATGCTTGTTCCATTGCGACCCATTTTTTCAGCATGTGGGACGCCTACGTTTAAACTTGCCAAATATTTGGTTTCGATTTTGGCTCCCCTCACCGTGAACGCGTATACTGTGCAAAATAGTTACCAATTCGTAAATGACATTCAGCAACTTGAGGTTAAAGAGGGCATGTTTATGGCTAGTTTCGACGTTGAAAGTTTATTCACGAACATACCAGTTACAGAAACCATAGATATCTGCACAGAGTCATTATTTCGGAACTGCTCAACGGTAGCAGGGATAGCTAAGAACTGTTTTAGGTCTTTGCTTGAGATTTCAGTACTAAATTCGTACTTTATCTTTGACCAGAAGTTATACAAACAGGTTGATGGGGTGGGAATGGGTCTACCGTTAGGCCCTACGTTTGCTAACGCATTCTTGTGTCATCATGAGAAGAACTGGCTTGATAACTGTCCTCGAGAATACCGTCCCGTCTACTTTAGAAGATATGTCGATGATTGTTTTATGATTTTCGAGCATCATTCACATGTTGACAAGTTTCTCAACTACTTAAATATTCAGCACCCAAGAATGAAATTTACGAAAGAAACGGAGACTAACAGCATGATCTCTTTTCTTGATGTATATGTAAAACGAACAGCTAGTGGCTTTGAAACCTCAGTTTACAGAAAGAAAACTTTCACTGGCCTTGGAACTAGCTTCTTTAGCTCTATTCCAATGCTCATAAAGAGGGCAATTGTGAAATCAGCCATATTTCGTGCCTTTCGGATCAGTTCAACCTACAGATTGTTCGATTTAGAAGTGAAGTTTTTAACGTCATTCTTTTGCAATAATGGGTTACCAAAGCGACTTGTAGATTTTTCAGTTCGGAAGTTCCTACAGAAGCAGTTCAGTCCAGCCCCAACCGTAGCTTCAGTTAAAAGGCTGGAAAAATACTTTGTATTACCTTTCTATGGTGAGCAATCGCTTAAGATGCATCGTGAAGTCGTGTCCCTATTAACGAAATATTATCCATATCTGAACCCTAAAGTAGTTTTGCGTAACCAGTTCACGATTGGAACATTGTTCCGTTACAAGGACAAACTGCCCAAGCCGAGTCGCTCTGGTGTCATTTACAAATTTAGTTGCGCCTCATGCCAGGCGTCATACGTTGGTTCCACGTATCAACGTTTATTCACCAGAGTGGCTCAACACCAAGGCAGATCTCCTCGTACCGGACTGATGTCATCAACCCCAGCAGTTTCGTCCATTAGAGATCATGCGTTATCATGTGACGCTCCGTTTACGATTGATAATTTTGAAATTCTGGGTACGAACAGCTCGTTCCCTGATTTAAGAATTTTAGAATCACTATACATCTTTCGGTTGCGACCAAAAATAAACGACATTTCATCGGCATATCCTCTCAATGTCACCGCTTAGCTCTATGATGTGTGTACCCAATGGTGTGCAACTGCTCTCATGTGCACTGTGCATTTGTATCACCGTCGCGCGTCGTCATCATTAAGTAGAACAATTCTCCACCTGGAAGAAGTGTACTTACTGAGTTTTGCATGTGTGCATATGTGTGTGCAAATAATTTCGATATTGTGTCAGGGTAATCATCCCATCAAAACATGTAACTTACATATCTGTTTATATTGTCACTGAAGATGTTCTCACTGTGGAACGAAACCGGTCTGACTTGAATAATGATCACAACCTCATGAACGCGGTTTTATGTCTTTTACTAAAATCTGTTCGTGTAATGTGACGTGCGCCTTTAACGTCCATTTTTGAAAATGGTTTTCAATTTTTGGTGATAAGTAATTACCTAATTATTCGTCTTAGTGTGTGGTACATGCATGCAGTTTGTGTCTGAAAAAGGAAATATCTTCACACAACATTGCAATTTCAAACAGACAAAAATACCGCTCATCTTTACCATTACCTCCTCTTATCATTTTTACCTCCTCTTTACCCAAAAAACAATCAGCAGCTACAATTCATATCCGCTGGCGCAACTGTCGCCACTGTCGAGCGTTGGTTGACCCGCGCGAACTGCGATTAAGACCGAAATAGTGCGACTGGCTGGCGGCGCGGGCCGCCATACGCTATGCTAATGCGGGCCAATATTAACTGCCACAAATGGGCTGTCAGGGGTCAGGTCCAATTGTGCTAGTGACTGACGGTAGGCATTTGTTGGTCATCAGCACGGCGCGACACGGCGCCAGAGTGGAGGGATGTTAGGAAAGGTAGAGGAGGGAGGAAGAGCAGAGAAAAGGGAAAGAGGAGGAGGCAGGGGATGTGAGGAATGGGGATCAGAAACAGCAAGCAAGAGATCGGAGAAAAAAGAACGAAGGAGGAGATGCAAATTAGAGAGAGAGAGACAGAGAGAGAGAGAGAGAGAGAGAGAGAGAGAGAGAGAGAGAGAGAGAGAGAGAGAGAGAGAGAGATTCAGAGGGTCAGAGTAACAGGACTAGGAGAAATCCAGGGACGGTATACCCGGTCAACCCCTGAGCGGTCAGTGCGCGTACAGTCTGGCACTCCCATGCGTCTGGGACACCGCTGCACCGACCACCCCTGGGTGGCGGCGAGATAGTCCGTAGTGGTTACAATGTGAGAGTCAGGCGCTCCCCGGTCGGCCCGAGCACCGATTGTGCTGCAGACGGGCAGAGCGGCCGCCGTAATGGATACAGGTAGTGGGGAGCGGCGGCCGACCGGTCGGCTCTGTAGGACAACCACAGCCGAGGGAGGCTGAGTGCCACCGCGGCAGGGAGGAAATATAATAATGGAAAATATAATCAGGATAAGCAGCCACAGGAAGTAGGCATACAACGGGGCAAGACGGAAACGAATGGAGGGAGATGAATGACTCACTAATGAAAGGTAGTCGGATAACGGATCCATGTTCTAAGCATATTGCGCGTCATATGACATGTAACATTAGATCCCGTGCACATATTATGATAGATGGACGAAAGATATTTGGGGATGAGTGCTGTTCTTCAGAGAAGTTGCCATTAATCGCGTAATTCACCGTATATACTGTGGCTGTTACGCATTACATGTGATATAGTCAGCGTTTGTTGTTTACCTTATGTGCAGGATCACAGCTCATAATAACGCTATTGTTATGCTTCGATTCCTTTGGCGGGTCTGGAGAACCTAATGGAGTTGAATTGCCTTCATATAGCTAGGCCAGGGAAGCTATCGATTTGGCAACTAACGGAACGTGAGTTTCCGCTCACAACAATCAGAAAAATAGCGGACGGAAAAAGGATTGGATATTGCCGGCAGGATATCGTAGATATGGAGTAAATCTGCGCACTTTTTTCTTTTTATATGCGAGATGTCTCCGCAGCTGATAAAAACGGCAGTGCTGCAGATTGGGATAGTTAGATCGGAAACTGCTAAAGTCTACATTGAACCTGCTGCTCGATTGTTATCCAAACATCGTCAGACAATTCAACAAGAAACTGATGCTGCAGCGCTTTGTGAAGTTAGGAATCGTAATCCATTCCGGGCTCCATTCGGCAAATGGAAAATGAAACTGCAATATTATGAGATAGATGATTCGGTCTAAAAATGCTGACACCGGCTATCCGTTTTGCTGTACGTGACTCACGTATGACGGCTTCATCGACCAAATTCAGAGGAAAAATAGCACAACTGCATGATGTAAGATATAGCATCTGGTTGTATCAAATACACCTTTAATGTAATTACATGCAAATTCCATCTGTTTTCTATATATAAGTATAGCACTTCAAACTGTCCCTGTCCGGTCCATTTCGGGTCTGTCGTCGCCCGCCCGACACCTTCTCGACAGGACACCATTGAAGTAGCGAGGCTGCGGCCTTACACCGCGATCAGCTGTTCAATCGGCGCTGCCATTTGCGACGAGCTTATCTTGAGCCAGTTCAAGACAGATGGCGGCATAAAACCGGCCGGTTGGGACCATTCAGCTGTTCTGGGCCATTGGGCGGGTATAAATCGGCTTTGGATAGTGGTGCCCCCCGAGCTTGGCCGCCTGCCGTGCGGCCAAAATGATCTCTCACCGCCTCCGATGCTCTTAACAAATAGCAGCGTGCTTAAATGGTCCAACCTGGGAGGAGCGATGAACGCCCCCAGCTCCGGCCCTTTTGTTTCTCGCGGCTGATGCCTTGAAATGTGGCATATGCCTCTGAAGGTTGAGCTTTTAAGCACCCAGTGTGGTTCCATCGTAAATTGCGGCCTAATGACATTGAGAAAGGTGGAAAGTTTCCCCAGAATTACTTGAGTTCCCCACCTGCTCCAGCTACATTGAGATGAATTATTTTAAGTGGAGGATTTGAACGAAAATGTTTGAAATTTCCTCGACAATCACGTCAATTCACAGCATAGAAAACCGATATTGTATGTGGCTGCATGATGCTAATGTACCAACCAGCAGTATCAACGACGTCCTTTCAATCCATTTCACCACCAATGACGCCATCACTGACGTCACATTTCGTCGCCAGTGGACGCCGTGTACGCGCTGGCTCACGCGCTGCACAACATGCTGGTGGCGCGCTGTGGCGGAGTGACCCTCTGCAAGGAGGTGCAACCGGTACCCGATGGACAGCAGCTGCTCAAACATATCCGGAACGTCTCCTTCATAGGTGAGGCCGCATGGATCGGAGAAACGTCTTCTTTGATGTCATTGTCGAGTGTCGAGTGAAGGTATGTACTTACCAGACGACAGAACTGTGTCATATCAGTTGTATACAATTCCACATGCGTAAATAAGGCTGTCTGAGCGTAGTACAACATGCTAACCTTTTTTGGGGGGTAAAAATGAGCCTATTTTGGTGAAGAAGTATAACTGGAATGGCGCATAGATTCCCAGACAGAACTGTGCAAAGTAACTCAATTCACGTCATTAGGTTCGGGATTCTTGGTGACTAGTTCTAGCTTTATAATGGTATACGCTTTGTCATGACCATGGCCGAGTAGTACCCTTTGACCTCCTCAATCCTCTTGAGGCGCCCCCATGCATGACGAGCCCCATAATCAGATCAGAGTCATATTGGATGTGCTATGACTGGCTGGCCCAGGAAGGCTTGCCTCTTCGGAAAGTCGCGTGACTTGCTCTTATACCTACAGGGTTGGGCAGATAAATTGGGACAAAATACATATTTGCATTTAGAACGCCGTAGCTTAGAAATTTGTAAACATAGGCATTTCAAATATGGATCACATATTGTCACACCAATTTTACACATTTTCACCAAATATGGTCACCGTGGTCCACCTGCATCAGTCCTTACCGGTGCCTGGACTGGCCGCACGCGCGGCGAGATCTCCCCTCTGAACTGGCTCGTGTAGCCAACTGGCACTGCTGAGGCTCACCACAGTCACATGGGGACGTTCGTTAGACTCACCCGCAAAAACGCCTCAGCAACCAGTACTTGTGTGGGCTGAGGTTTAATGAGGAAGGGGGCATTTTCCCTTGGGTGCAGTTTGCGGGATCCTCCGTTTCAGAAGATTTTGTATTTAATTTACTGTATGCCGGGGAGCTGACTCCTCGAAGAGCATCACTCCATGCAGGATGTTGCCTTCCTTCATCTTGTTGATTCGAACTGCCGGAATAATGGTTAGGTACCCTGTAATGGCGAACCCCCACCCGATACCGTAAAATAAGGGGGCCCCACGTGACCGTCAGAAGTCACCGAGTGGAATGCCATCACCGATGTCTGCTGCATGCTTTTTGGAACTAAGATCACGTCTTCTGGGCTGGTTGCGATGTTACCTGGTGTTTGCAGTTGTTCATATGTTCGGTTATGGGGATACCATCGTCGAAAAAGACCTGCATAGTGCATGTGCTTGCTCGCTTCTCCAAGCCCTTCAAGAGGAAACAATCTTTTTAACGTCACAGCTGCTTCAACATCTATGTTGGTAGGTTGATATGCATCAATGCATAAGAGTACATGTTTGAGGTGCTGGTATATCGCTTTCTCATGGCGCGGCCACCTTCGTTATAAGCTCGCGCCACTGTTTTCGCGAGGATCCTCTGATTTAACTGAATTTTGCCTTTTAGCCCCCCTGGAAAACCGGGGGAGCGGCCGGTGTCAATGCAATAGGTATGTAAGGATGAGTCAATATCATCTCTTCCTCCAACGTTTACGTCTGTTCGATACACACTACTTCCAGCCATTTGATGGAGCATAATTAGAGTATTGGCACGCATGTGCGCGCGGACTAGGTTGATAGTGGCTTGCTTAAGCCACTATCCACTATTGCTTAAGCCACTATAATCTGTGACCAGCCGACTCAAAATTACAACGCAACCTGCATAACATGGAAGAGTATTCATTAGCCTATATTTATGTTAGAAAATTATCTTTATCACTCAAAAAATAGTCGCTTTAGAGGAAGTTGAAATTTGTCCCAACTCATCTGCCCAACCCTGTACACGTAGCCCGTCTATCGAGGCCGGTCCGCGACACATGTCACCCGACTGCGGTAAATTGAGACAGGTCCTAATAAAAGTCGCACGGCTGCAGTCTGGCAACTGGCAAGACGGGTGAGAGACGGCCATGCGCCCTCGGCCGCGCTGCCGACCTGTCGAATTCCCCCCGCACCGGGACCCGACCCGACCCGACCCGGAGCCGGGAGCCGGGAGCCGGGAGCCGGGAGCCGCTGCTCCGATGCCGCCACCGCTCGACCGTGTCAATCGCCAGCAGCTGCCCGAGCCCAGCGACCCGGCAGCGTATCCGGGGCCGAGGGAGGGGTGTCTCCGCACAACCCCTCTCCTCCCTCTCCTCCTCTCTCCTTGTCCCTATGAGCGCCGCGCCGCAGATATGACGGGCTCGGTCTAGCGCCGGCGGCGCCCCTCCCCTGTGACCGGCCCGGCTACGGGCGAGATTGGCCGCTCCCAAGACGACCCGAGCCGGGAAAATATCCGCACTATCGGAGTCGGTGCCGACCGTTCGGCCCACACGAGCCGCACGGCGCCCTACCTCGCCCGACGGCAGTAGGTTACGGCAGTGGTGCCGTGTCCAGTTAGCTGGGCCATGGCCAGACTCACACCTCAGCAACGGCCCAGATAGCTCGGCCAAACGGAGCGAAATTGGAACACGGAAATGGGGGAGATTAGAGTTGTTACCAGACACTCTTGCAGCTGAACTGAATAAACGGCACATCCGGTCTGGATATGGAAGAATATAGCTCAAATAAAAAGCGGTACAATTTTTAGAGGTTTCAGCTTTGTTGATGAGCTAAGAATTACCGACACTCGTTTGTGCTTAGATTCTCTTCGTTTCCCGACTGTTTCTTAGTCGTTGATCGGCTGTATTTTGCTAGCGGATGTTAGCAGCTATGGGATGTGCGCGGTAATTAGGCTAAGTAGTTTGCGACCCAAGTATGTTATCAACCACGCCAACTGTCGGACAAATCTCGCACAGGTCTTAACCGCTGTCTTCGAAGAAGTGATTAAATTGTCTGGCCAATTCTCATTTCAGGCAGACAGAAGCGGAAAGTTCGCTTTAATGAATATGGAGATGCCATCGGGTTCTACAATATCTACCAGTTCCAGAAGAGGGATGGAAAATATGAATACTATCAAATTGGAGAGTGGGTTGAAAGGTATGTTATGTTGCTTGAATAATTAAAGTGCGATATAAGATATATTATTCAATTTCTCGCTGAACTCGCCACTTTTCAATTAACTTTTCACAAAAGCTCGCTTTGACGTATTTCAGTTGACGTATTTCGTAAACTGGCTCTCCCATTAATTACGTCTCATTCCCTAAGTCAGGTATGAACTAAATAGCTTAGTCTCCCTTCAACCAAAGATCGTCGTAGCTCAGTTTCCTCTACTCGTACCGCTCCACATTTCCACAGTCTTCCCCGACAGTTCCGTGTCTCAGTACCGGATAATCTGACCGGGCGTTTCATGTCTCAGTTTCCCCCAACTACTGAGCATTTCTAGCATAGTCTTAGTATCCCTAACCTGGCAATTAGGTGCGGTCACAACTTCACCTAAGTCTCAAGCTCCCTTACCTGACCTCGTGTCTCAGTCCCCCCTGACCTGACCTCCCCGTGTCTCTCAGCCTGAGCTACCTGAGCACCAGTAAGATGAAGTGGCGAGGTGACAGCAGTGAGACGCCATCCTCTATCTGCAGTCAGCCGTGTCCGCTCGGCAAGATTCGCAACTTTCAGGTTAGTGCCCGCCACAGCTGCATCGTAACCCTCCCGACGCTCCTCAAATTGTGGTGGCATTCGGGTTGTGATGGGAAGTGGGCATGCTTTATTACGTAAGGCGGCGAGGTATCTGGAAGTGTGTGTACATGCAGCAACCTTTATCAACGGTTACAACATTTCTGACGTCTCAGGCGGCCAGGCAACCTGTTTTATTTTTTTAGCACACTCTTGTTTCCAAACTCGTATTTGAGTTGCCTTTACTTGGAGACTGGAGCGTTAAAATTGGCCAGCTTTAAACTTATCTTTTCCTCTCTAGCTAGTAGCTACTTTTCGGAAGGTTGAATGTATTGCTTCCACGACATTATTGAGAAGGCATGTTTCGTGGGTTATGGGGAGGCAATAAATGTTATGGATTGTTGCCATCTGGCATTTAATTTTTATTACCGCTACAGAAGTTGTTACAAACTTTAGCGTGCCCCTCACTGTGATAAATGACATCATTTGTCAGGGTTGTGTTTGGTGGGCTTGCATAGTCACCATGTCCGTTGAATTTTGGATGAGTTGGGAAGCCGGCGAGATGAGTGTCGCCGTCGGAGGCCCGGGCTGGCTGTTTGCGAATTCTCCAGTTAATCTGTCAAGAACCACGTCATGCTGGACTTAACAAATAAATTTCCGCGAGGCTATTTTACCTGAAATGCTGTCTCAACTGGACGGCCACGGGTGTACCAGAGCCAATGTCTGTCACAGCCAGCCGGTCTCTGTTTCAAGAATGCGGCTTCGAGGAACCAGTCGGAGTTTATGGCTGCGCCACAAGCGAACAAGCGTGAGATTGACAGCCAGCTTTCGGCGAGATTGGCTGCCGGAAAGCATATGTTGTCCGGTTGACGTTTTGAACACAGGATGACGAATCTAAATTAGCCAGCGCCGCCCTGCACCCCGTAGATAGCGGCCCGTCCTAGGCCGCAAGGCATTGAAGCAAAAATCTGAATGGAAAAATAATACCACGTCAATGATTGCCCTTCACTCAGATCTATGGGAGACTTAGAGCTGAATACTGATTTACATTTTCTGTGAGTCGAAGGAAAATAACAGAGCATCTGGAATGGAAAAGGATGGATGGTTATGTACCCCCTTCTTTACAAGGACTTATTGTTTCCAGGTTCCCAGGGAATTGATTCACGCATGCGTTTGTCTTTGGAATTCAATGCTCCATGATCAAACCAAAAAAAAAAAATCATTCGGAAAATATTCATACAAAAGAAGCCGTAAACCAAGCACAGTTTCCCCTAACTTCGGCATTCATTATTACAAGTTACAACTTTTTCCGCACGATAATTTACTCGGATGTGACAGTGTTCAGGAGCAGGGGTGACCGGAAGTGGTCGTTTCCGGCAGGACGCGTGCTGCTGGAGCTGCGTCAAATGTCCGGAGGGCGACCGGATCGACAACGACACGTGCGTGGAGTGTCCGCTGGGCCACCTGCCGACGGCCGACTACCGCTCGTGCTACCGGCTCACGGCCGAGTACATGGCCTGGAGCTCCGGCTGGGCGCTGGTACCGGCCGCCATCAGCTCGGTCGGCATCGTCGTCACACTGCTGGTCATCGCCGTCTTCCTGCGCTTCAACAACACACCCGTCATCAAGGCGTCGGGCCGCGAGCTCTGCTACGTCCTGCTCTGCGGCATCGTCGTCTGCTACGCCATGACGTTTGTGATCCTGATGAAGCCGTCGGTGGTGTCGTGCACCATGATGAGGATCGGACTCGGTCTGTGTCTCAACATCTGCTACAGCGCCCTGCTCACCAAGACGAACCGGTGAGAAAAAAGACGAACCAGTGATAAGGGGAGAGAATGCGGGGGGGGGGGGGGGAAGGAGGAGGCCGTGGGTCTCGGGAAGAGGAGAGGGAAGGAGGAGAGTCGCTGAGGAGGGACGTGGAGGGTCGGTGAGGAGGAGTAGGGTCAATGCCGGAGGAAAGAGCAATGTTCATGGTAGTGGGAGTGTGGGGAGATGGGCCTGTGGGGAGGGAGTTAGAGCGTCGATGTAAGTAGGAAAGTCAGAGAGCTGGTCGGCGGGGGGGGGAGAGCAGGGTCGGCGTTGGTCCAACCGTGTCCGGTTACTGGGCGTCGCAGGAAGCGATCAACTGGCTCTGTATGTAGAGCTTCTGCGAAAATGTATCCGTTCAATTTTAGTCGGCCATCTTCTCAGTGAAGGCGCCTTCACATTTACATTGCAAAGTGGCGGTTGCTGGCCTCAAGTAGCCTCATTCATACTTCCCAACACTTGCCGAATATCTATTCTGGACTCAGCTAGCGTGCGGTGATTCTAGTCGACACATTGCAGCCCGGCATGGCGCCCAAATATGATATCCTCGCCACATTCAATATTTTACAGTCGAGGCATGCCGCGACTTCCGCCGTCGTCCAGTTTTCATCCAGAGCATCCCGGCAGCATTGATTTGGGCCAGCGGCGACATAAAGTAGCGAGCCCATGATTGGCTCCGTTTAATCAGACGGACACGGCTGGCTCGGGTGGCTCCAGGGCATATTTTAACAAATTTTTACTGCGTCCCAAAGTTGAGCAGAGGGCACGTGCTACGACTAAGGGCACAGGGCAAGGAACAGAGTAGGGCACTGAGGAGGGCAGAAAGTAGGGCACGACAGGTTACAGGGCATGGCACAGGACATTTTAGAGGGAAGGGTACAGGTCAGGGCACACAGCAGGGCACAGTTTAGGGAACCGGACAGGGCACAGGGCAGGGACGCAGTGGGTCAAATCAGCAGGGGCTACGTCCCAAGGTGAGGGGGCTGCGTCCCAGAATGGGACGCAGTAAGTGCCTTAAAATATGCCCTGGGTGGCTCCGAAATAGATCGGCGGCGGGGAGGGGCGGGATATGTGCCCCCAGCGTAGGCACTCCCAGCTGATCGGCCTCCTTAGTCTGGGTGGTGGCTGATGTGCTGACATGCCGAGTATGGTGACCCCTCTGACGCTGACGAAATGGGATCCGCCCGATTGCCGGCAGGATCTCCCGTATCTTCAACATGGGTATGAGGAGCATCAAACGACCGCCCTACACATCGCCGAGGTCCCAGATCGCCATCTGCTTCGGTTAGTCAATGTCTCACTATTGCTTCAGGTCTTTCGCTCCCCTCTGTCTCTGTCCTCTCTCTCTCTCTCTCTCTCTCTCTCTCTCTCTCTCTCTCTCTCTCTCTCTCTCTCTCTCTCTCTCTCTCTCTCTCTCTCTCTCTCTCTCTCTCTCTCTCTCTCTCTCTCTCTCTCTCTCTCTCTCTCTCTCTCTCTCTCTCTCTCTCTCTCTCTCCACTCTCTTTCTTGCTCTGACTTTTTCTTCAGATTCCTTCCAGCTCGACAGTGGTCTCTTACCGCCAGTGATCGTTTGATCTCTCCTCTCCAGGCCTGGTGTCGATTCAGCTAATCGGTATCGTAGTCTGGCTGATCCTGGAGCGACCCTCCACCAAGGAGGTCTACCCGAACCGGCGAACAGCCGTGCTTACCTGTGGCATCAGCAGTCTCTCGCAGGTGGTTTCCCTCGGCTATAACATGGTGCTCATCATACTCTGCACCTGGTACGCCTTCAAGACGCGCAAGATACCCGAGAACTTCAACGAGGCCAAGTACATCGGCTTTACCATGTACAGCACATGCATCGTGTGGCTGGCCTTCGTACCCATCTACTTCACGACGTATAACGAGTATAAGGTACGTGATACTCTCGAAATATTCCCTTTATCTGTTACTGTGTCTACCTGTCACTTGCTCCCTGTCACTCGTTCTCTCTCTCTCTCTCTCTCTCTCTCTCTCTCTCTCTCTCTCTCTCTCTCTCTCTCTCTCTCTCTCTCTCTCTCTCTCTCTCTCTCTCTCTCTCTCTCTCTCTCTCTCTCTCTCTCTCTCTCTCTCTCTCTCTCCCTTTCTCTTTTCCCTCACTTTTTGCGTTAATTTTATTTTCCAATTCAACATAACGTGATTTTATCATACCGCTAATGCATTTTTGTACCTAATGCATGCTGATGCAGGTATGCTGATGTCCACCGAAATGGGTTTACATCGCTTCAGATTGTCAAAAATGTGTCAACATTTTTTAGGTGGGCTACTTTTCAGCTTTTTTCAATCAATCTTACAATTCACTTTAACGTTTGAACGTTGATTAGACTTTGCAGTCCTTTATGTTTAAAACTCGTCTAAATGAGGAACACTGGCATACTGCTGATTATGGTGGGTCAGAAGTTTGAATGGTGTTGCAAAGTGGAAAGCTGTTGGAGTGCGTACCCCGCTAACTATAAATAAAACACTCCATGCCTAGCGGCTGGTGTAAACAAAGGGGATCCTAATCAAGACGTGGAGCGCAACAACTCGGAAGTAAATGACTGTTTTATTTTCAAAGCGTCTTTGATATGGCAAGCATTCGAGACTAAACACTTCTTCGCCTCGACGCTAAATTGCTAAGGAGCTGTCATTAAAAGACCCAGCCACTAGCTTCAAAGCGTTTCTTATTCAGCAGAGCAGTTTCAATTAGAAACTTGTATTAATTACTGGGTTTCAAGACTGCCATTCAGAGCTGGCATCGAACCGACCACATGTTGAATTCTCCTAATGTCAAATTCTGTTTTCTGACTAAAATCAGGGTTAAAACGGCTGGCCTCTCAAGCCGGCGCTCTGGCGAAATCTGTCACCCGTCCAAAAGGCAGCGGCGCACCCGGCAAGTTAGCGGCCAACTTTGTCGGGGCCTGGCGTGGCTGGCCGACCCGATCGGGAGGAGAAAGGCGCGGCGCCGGCCCGGCCGGTGCACTTGGGCCGCTGAATGCCGAACTTTGACAGGCGGCTGCTTGGTGCCGTATGGTACCCTGATCGGGGTACAGAGAGCGCACGGCTGAAGAAATGGCAGCCGGTCGGCGGCCGCCGAGACGCGGTATAAAGGAGTTGCGGAGTGCGTTAGAGCGTGGTTAGAGTAACACGAAAAGGTGGTTCGTTGCCTTTTTCAGATTAAGTGCAGGAACTGGCTTCAGGTGTGTTGAAAGTGTGTTCCAATTTATTTGAAATTACTTCAACCACAGCAAACAAATGTCTTGCAATATTGTAGCCAATTCAAGGATCAGCTTCGTACTGTAGCTCAAAGTTTTAATCAACATACAATCATGTTGACCATTCTCGGATAATGTTTTGACTTTTCCGCCACACTATAATGACAAACATAAATATTCCCATCTCCCCTATCCTTAGCGGGGTTCCGTACGAGTGAGTAGTGTTATCCGGCTTCGCTCCGGTCCACTGATCCCATTGATTTCCCCTGTCGCCGCGAGACAGCGGCGCATTTATAGCCGTTTACAGCTGGTTTGAGCGGCGTTCACCAGTCGCATCACAGCGTGGCAATAATGGTCTGAGAGCCCTCGGCGGTCGGACGTCCATGTTCCGGGGTGCACAGACCCATGAGCAGACGTAAGGAGGCGTACTTACGGACTATCCGTGTACGGGCCGCTGCCGCACGCCGGTAGAGTATTCTCTGCCGCCCTTCGCTTCTCCATGAGACCAGTACACAGGCGGAGATGGACTATACGTGCACGTGTACGTATACCGTCCGTACGCATACCCGTACGAACTATACGTGTATGCCTATGGTCCTCTGTCGTCTACCGACAGAGCGTCCTGCCCTCTCCCCCCCCCCCTCCATAACAGGCGGAGATGGACTATACGTGTACGCTGATAGCGCCCTGTTACTGAGAATCGAGGGAGGTGGTCGCCACTAGGTACTAATCACATTACTGAGACTGCGTGAGGTGACGTACCGACCGCCGCTAGAACGCTATGTATGCGCTATTGCGCGCACTTACATACACTGGAGATGCGCTTCATCAGCCGCATCCGGAACTTAGAAGGAATGCCAGGGTTTCATTAACGGACTGCACGGGTCGCGTTGGATTGCCGTGGCAGCGGCAGTGTGGTTATTTTGTGTTATTAGCCTATTCATGCTCAGTTATCGGTGGTTTCAATACGGTATTGCTGGATAATTTAATAAACACATCGAAATTCGAAATGGATTGTAAGGGACGACACAGTGGCAAACTCTGTATATTAAGTCGTTAAGACAAAACTAACACATTGGAGTAACCTGGATGGTTCCACACATGCGCGATGATGTTTTTTTTTAATATCTTGGACCTTGGCAGACGAGACGGAAGAAATCTCTTCGAGCAGCAGATTCTTGTTATCCATCTAGCTGGCATCCATCAAGGGCGAACGTAATGAGTAGTGGGAACTCATATTGCTGTATAACTGGTTCGCTGTATTCATAATAGCTTGTGGTCTCATGGGAAGAATTCGTGGCTAATTATGTTGGTCAGGAGATTACAAGAACAACGCCAGGAGAGTGCAGGGGCCAAAACTACGGTACAGGTCATACTCCGGCACCATCTGATCAATTCACCGACGTTTTGTCCCATTTACGGCTCATTGGATCGTCTCATAAAACAGAAAATGCCTAGCCTTTAACATGCATGTCCTATGCATGTATGCCACGCACACTGCACTCATAATCAAAGCTAAATGGACTCGATATTCACTGCATTCGTAGAACCATGCCACTCATCAAGCTTAACGTGCCAATTAACCTCGCTTTTTAAACCTAAGCCCAGGACAAACATTAACTAGCTCCCCTTTTTAAGTGTTCAACGAATGGAATTCGCTTCGTCCAACAAAATTAGGGAAGGTTTATAATGTTTTTTTTTCATTTTTCATAAAGAAATTCATAATATAGATAGGCTAGTTGGAAACTTGCAAAATGTAGGAAAATTCCACATATTTCCATTAATTCGCCCATCTGCCAGTCTTCATACTCATAGTGCCTGTTGGACGTGCCTATTTCAATGGTCTTGCTGCTATACTCACGTTCCACGTTCCATGGAACGTGAGCCATAGGTGCACCTACAGGGTATGTGCACATTCACAAGCAGCCGACACCCGAGCAGTCGTATACGCAATGCCCGTCACTCGACCGCTGCCGTACGGCGGATGTCGGGAGCGGCGGGGGCGCCGGATAATCTGCCCCCGGCGTATGCAGATCCCACGCGGGCAGACCCCCAGGGCAGGCCCAGCCAGATGCAATCAGTCGGCAGACAGAGAGACGCGGAGGTGGCACAAGGTGTGTTGGTGATAATGAATTATGCTCCAGACGTACCGCGCGTCGGATGGGTCTTACTCAAGACGGATACGTGAATATTGAATGCAAAAGCGTCCCCGATTTCCATTGCGTCCGTGCAGTTTCCAGTCTTTCTGTCGGCGCTCTCTTACAGACCAGACCAATATTTGTGCTATCACTTCACATAAAAGTACAGTCCACAGCAGAAGTAATGTGCGGTTTCAGTCATGGGTATGTTCTGCTTCTGAAGCTTAGGAACGATTAACGAGACTACAATGAAACTTTGAATGTATGTAGTTTACATGTATCGTCACCCTTGCAGCTGCAACTTTAGCTATTGACATCTTCTTTTCGATCACTCCGCATTAAACAATCGCCAGTCAAAGCCAACCGTTGAGATTGGTAAAACCCTACATTACTTTAGCGGTGGGCTGTACTTGCATCTACTGGCTTACCATGGCTGGTTCTGATGAATTACATATGTCGATGCGCATGGATAAGTGAAAAATCGATTGAATTTTTACTGAACGGGCGAACGTTACCGTGCTACAAGCATTTTATAATTGTCAAAAATATTTAGGGTCAGGTGCATGAGATTGTCTCTGGAAAATAAACGTCGAATTTGATTTGACAGGTCCACTTGCGGTCACTACTCGTCACGCTGGATATAAGGCGATACAACGCATAGCTCTTCATTAGCTGTCCCAGATAATCACTACAATCTACTACAGCAAGCTTTTTTTGGGTTAGGCCCTTTCGGTCCATTAAGACCATTTCAGAGCCGGGAGGATGATAGGATATAGGGGGAGACATTGGTCTGGGCAGGCACCCTAGTGAGTCGCCGGGGCTGAGCCCGTCCAGAGGACAGGCCACCCAGCCCCAAGGCACTCACTGCACCTGGCTACGGGGTGCGCTCCCTCAGGAGCAGCGGTGCCGCTCCAAGGGAGCAGCCCGCATGAGATAAAGTTGCCTGTCCAGCCCGGAGGGGGGTTGCGGCGTGGAGGAGAAGGATTTCAGTATCCTGAGGATAGAAGCACGGAACGGTGACAGCAAGCTTGATTGTTTTGAGTTGTTATTGACCCCGGTCGGCGGTCCATCACGCATGAGCTCCCTCCATACCGGCCTCACTGATCTGACCTTTCCCTCCCCCTGTTCCGAACAGGTGCAGCTGGCCAGTCTGTGCATCTGTGTCACCATCAGCGCTACGGTGGCTCTGCTCTGTCTGTTCACTCCCAAACTGTACATCGTCATCTTCCAGCCGTACAAGAACGTCCGGCAGGCGGGCGGTGGCAATCAGGCGAGTGGCCGGGCCCGATCGGTGGGCGGGGGCGGGCGCGACTCGATTCCGGCCCAGCTGAAAAGTGGGGTCTGAACGCGGTTCAAATGGTCCTGAGGGCGGTGCCAGGTGCATCGGCCGTCACTTGATGGTGGAGATGGCACCCTAATCGAGGTGTCCCAGGCAGACGCAGGGTTAAAAATGTCACAGCCGGTCCCATGCTGAGCCATCAAAGGCGCGGCAGGGTCGGCCGGGTCGTACGAGGGAGAGGCCTGGTTGGATGGGTCACGGTAAATAGTGTGGGGATGTGATGGCTTGATGAATTCGCTGTAAATAGTGGAGAGTTGATGGTCAGATGTTGAATTAGTTGTGCTTGATCTTATAGGGGAGAGAAGGCTATCACGTTGAGAGATAACATAGAATCGTCCACAGCTTGAGGCCAAATTAGTTGTAATGCAGACAAAGTAATGCGTTTCTGAACGCGAGGTGATTGACGACGGTTTTAACTTTCAGGTTAAACACATCTCGGTACTATGCTTACGTTCGTTATTGATCATTGTGTTGTAGTTTTCATCTGTTTTCTAATGCATTTAAGAATAATCCTTCGACGGCATTAAGTAACTAACTGTGCAGAAGTATTCTGGCGGTAACACACACAAGATCAACTCGTTAACCCTTGGATACGACGACCTCCATATGCCTCTTATTTCGCCGCGCGAGGATCTGTTCGGTATCAGCCGCCATTGTTTCTCAGAAGCCACTATTGTGTCGGAACAGGGTCACTTCGGCTGACCAGGCAGTCCGAGGATATTGATATTAATTGATAAGCTCAAACTTCTGGGATGACTTTTGAAGTTGCAAACTTTTCCGCGCCGAACTTGCTCGGTGGGTGCCGCGGCCAACCCACGTCAGTAGGCGGCACCAAGATGGCGTGAAATTTCATTTTGGCGGCCAAATTTCTCACCGAAGCAAGAAAACTTTCAGAAATGGTCTGTCTTGACCACAAATATATCACCCATAACCGTGGGACTGCGGGTGTGGGCTGTATTTACTAGATAAAGGTGAGGTACAGAGCTGGCACTCAACTGGTTGTTGGAAATTGCAATGGACGAAATAAAGCACGCTACGCAGCCTCTACATCTCGACGAAAAGCCACGATAACTTTTAAAAGACAGCAGCACTAAAAAAAAATATGTAGGCTGCAAACATGCTGCCAGGCAAACTTAATATGCGTAAAATTAAGCTGGTTTGTTTTCTGAATTCATGTTTGCTTTCAACATCTTGTTAATTTCTCAACCATCGACGTTAAATGTGGACGAAATAAGCATTGAAGCATGAGCTTTTGTTGTATGCTGTATTGTATCAAAGTGTTATGCCGTGAAAAAATTGCATTACGCATAGAAAGGCGATGCAACTTTGTCGCATTTATTCATCTTTATTCGATATGATTGTATTTATTGCTTTGGAACAAAGGGACATGATGGAACATCACCCTTTATGGGGCCATATTTGATAATTATGATTTGTGGTCCCGGGAAGGATCGTGTTCGCGTGTTACGGAATTGATGGCACCTGGTGGAGCCAGGCCGACGCCGACTTCGAACGGTGAAATAAACTAATACCGGCACCTCACCCCAACGTGGTCGAAGTCACCACCCCGAGCGAATTTGGCGCTTGGCTTATGGCGTCTTGCGTCACCCGCTGTGCGCTTTCCCATCCAACAAGACGTGCATTCATTACTACAAAGCCCCGGGATTGGTCGGGGCCCTCCAAAGCCCGGCGCCGTCCGCCCAGATGAAGAGTCAGCGCCGGCGCTGCGAAACTGTCGCCTTTCATCATCATAACCGGTGCACGTTGTCCTGTTTCTGTCCGACCCTCACTAGGGAGATGGCACGTCGGCCCGCTCATCCGCCGCCACCGGGACGCAGCTGGACGGGCGGCGGCCCGCTCATCCGCCACCTCCGGGACGCAGCTGGACGGGCGGCGAAGGTCGGCACGCAGCCCGACCATCTGTCGGTGCCGGCGACCAGTGACCGCGGCCGCTCCGTCGGGGCCGGAACCGAGGCAGCGGCCGACCGACGGACGGGCTGACACAGCGACTCACCCATCCCGCCGACGAATCGCTGAAGCTCTGCGCCGCTCTGCTGCTGAATTAGCGCCGGGCGGAGGGCCGCGCGGCGGACGGGGGCGGACGGACGGACAGCAGAGGGCCGCGGTGGCGCACCCACTCCGCCCAGTGTCGGACACGTGCGGTCGGAGGAGTCTACTCTCCATCTGTCCGTCTGACTCCTGCCGTGCTGGATGATGGAGCGACTCATACCGATCCCAATCATACCGAGGCTGATGAGTGATGGCATTTCTCGTGCTTATGCTATGAGCGATTTGGCCCATGAGTTGCACTGTTATATTCTCAGCTGACAGCTACGACTTTTATATAGTAAAATGATGTCAAGAATTGTTGGACTGATGAAAAAAGGGGGAAAATATACATGTATCTAGCTTATACCGATAGTTGATCGGCTTCTTCGTTAGTCGTTAGATAGTGCTTTTTCATTAAGAACCAACGAAATGTGTAGTTTCAAACGTATCTAACATACTGTATGTTTGCTGTTTAAATTCAAGCTAATGGATGCTTCCTTCTCATTCTGAAGTTGTTTATCTGCTCCACTTTCTGCTAAATTTAATCCTGTACTGCTTCCTTTTGCTCACATCACGTTGACCTTCCCTTCAGCTCCCTTGGTAATTTATCTTCTTTTCCTCTTGCTGCAGAAATTGATGAATACATGTGTTTCTGGGTAAACTATTTATAACTGCTCGCCTCTTCAAGTGACTGAGAAGTGGAACCGCGTGCGACAGCCAGCTGAAGCTTCGAACTCGTCGAGTTGAATACGATGACAACATTGTAATTCAGTTTGGTCGTTCTGCTACGTTCCGTCCATGTGCGGATGCATTGGCGCGACAAAATGAGAGGGCTGACATTTAGAGAAGCGCTAACTTCGGGGCCTATTTGACCTTGAAGGCTTCGATTGCTGGCATGGATAACTGGATGCTCAAGAGATGGGCGGGGAGAACTGGTGAGGTGATGCTATACCGAGAAAGATGATTACCGAAAAGGATAAGACGTTGCCCATTGACAGCGGGAAGCGGCGGTATACGAGATGATGAGATGCTACTCGTATTAACGAAGATAAGCATCACTACAATCAAAAAGGATTGGGAACCTTAGCAGCGGGTAGGGTAGGGCAGGATCCTCCCCACTAAAGCGGGAAGAACGTGGACTTTAGCGTGGAGTACCAACACTATGTAACTGGTCGACTGCTAGAAGCAGCTGACCCTCACCGCCTGACCGGCCGGACTCCAGGGCTCCCTCCGTTACTGACCCTCACCGGCCGGACTCCGGGGGCTCCCTCCGTTACTGACCCTCACCGACTGAGTGGCCGGACCCCGAGGCTCCTTCCGTCACGGCCCGCAGCGCGTGCCGGCAGCGACGGCAGACGGCAGCGACGAGTCGTCTCATCTGGTTGGCCTGTCAGACCAACTAATGGAAAATTCATCAAATCAACTCGCGAGAGACACCTCGTGGCGGCTCGGCTGGTCATTCCCGACCTGGCAAACCCTCGACCAATGAATTCAAGATCCATGTGTGGAGAGACGACCAGCTTTGATGGAAGTGCAGTGGAACAAATAAAGGTGTAACGCGATGATTGTTTTTACGGGCCATAGGTTACTACCAGCTGTCTTGCATCAGTAGGTACTCAGTAGGATAAATTGGTGCGCTACAGTTCGAAAATATAGGTAAAGAGTTTCCCACAATGAGTCATCACTTAAATCTGAATCACAAATATATTAATCGTTAGGGAACCTTGCCTATACGAGCCATGAATAATGATATTGTCATTCACAAGGCTCTGTGCTCTAAAATAATGTTGAAAATAAGTACAGTTAATACAAGTTCAGGAGAACTGCTTAAAGTCTATGGTACTGCCGGCTCGGTCGACAGCTGTCCATGGATTTTGGGAAGATTAAACTGACTTTCTCAGAACCGCATTCACAACAGTTGCGATCCTTGAATCAGTGTCGCGATCACAGTTTGGTTGACCGGCTTAGTTCCCGGACGGCTTTCCTAGCAAGGCTTGTTAGCTGATAGAATGGCTAAGTCGCCTGACGCCCGAATGGACAGGTCACTCAGAACGGGTTATAGACCGCGGCAGAGAGCTTGAAATAGATCTGCTACTGCAGGGAAAGACAGGATAGAGAGGTGTGGGTACCGGGCTGGAGACACGAGGACCTGTAACTTTTATTAAAACTCCACGGGCCTCGTCATTGAGTGAGGAAGTCTGAGAGGGTAAAAACAATCCTGTTATCAAAATTTAGGAAATGTAGGTGATGCTACTACAGTGTAGTTGCCGTGCGATCAGGCTTCTCACTCTCTCGGCCCTGATCATCGTCGTGTCTTCTTTCAGAACTCTGCTGGCCGGCCGAACAACATGCGGTTCGCACGGACACGACAGATCCCGACAGCGAGCTCACAGCTGACACAGCTCAACTCGGCCCCGGCGTCATCCATGTCGCTCAACGTGAAGGCGCTGAGCACGGCTTCAGAGGGCGAGCCGGCGGCCAACGGCAACACGCCTCTGCTGAGCCCGGCCGGCGCCGGCGGCTCCTGCGCTCCTCTGCTGGTCAGTGCGGTGAGCTGAGGACACGCGGCGGGGAGCGGCTCCGACCGCGCCCCGCCACCAGCCGTCGACGAGCAGCAGCCACTGCTGGCGGTCCCAAAGGACACCGCGCCCCGCCCGTCGGACCCCCAGCCTCCGACCAGTGAGTGTCCTCCTCCAGCCGATCTTCTCTCCGAGAAAACACCAGCGGAGGACCCGCCGGCGCTGGTGCCGCCCCCGACGGATGCCCCGGACTCGGCGGCACCAGAGAAGGCCGAGCAGCCTGCGCCGGGTCCTCTGCCGACGGCACGCAGCCTCGACCGAATTCTGGAGAAATTGGAGCTCAGTGACTCGGTGAGACGCAGTGCCAGCGCCTACTTCAGCTCCGGCGAGGACATACAGATCGTCAAACACGAAGAGATCTGGATCTGATGTGCGCCGGCCGTGCGGACCGACCGCGGTGTCAGCTCCGACCACAAACGAGGCTCAGTTTCTCAGCGACCGATCTTCACATGTAAACTGTGTAGTAGCTAGATGTATTGGATCAAATGGAGAGCGGTGATTGAAGAACGATAGACCGTGAAACCGGTGCTTGGCATGAGGAATATGTAGAACTTTTGGTACGATTGACTGATACTGGTTGAGTTCTTTTATGGTAATCGTTGTGAAGTTGGTTGTGATCTATCTCAACTGAAATGCATGCATTCGTGTTGCTCAGATGCGTCGCGTTACGTGTAAGGGGTGATCTGACGGGGAGCTCCAACGCTACCTGATGAATGTGAATAAGGAACTGGAGTGAACGCACATGGGTTAACTGTGGTTTGTGAGATATTTTCGTCGACTATTGTGATTGTGATCTCGGGCTGGAACTCTCCCACTATTCCGCCAAAGACTGATCTCAAGTTGCCGAGGTTCGCTGTTAACCTGAGAGGAGGCAAATTGTTCAAAATGAATGAATGAGAGGCAGTTGCTGAGTGATGCATGTGCCAAAACCGTTTGGCAATTTACTCGCTGTGAGGGAAATCTACCTTCCTTTGATGCCAAATGCGACAAACAGATATAAAACAGCTGATAATGTCTATATTTTTAAAAGCATGATGTTACGACCCATGTGTATGATAAAGTCGCTTATCACTCAGCCATTAATGTGTTGTTACGTTTATCTCCAACGTAATTATGACACAGGAAACCAGAATAATGTGCAATGTGCATTGTATAAACTCATACCCCCTTTTATGTTGACGTAGAATGTAGATGTATGTAGTTGTAGATAGATAGACAGACAAATGTGTCATTACAAAACCAGCATTATCCTAAACGATATGAAATCGTTCCTCAATCAGTTATGTAACCGAGTAGCTGTTACATGTGCGTTGTGTCAATGAAAAAGAATTCAACGTCCACGTCTCATCGCCCGGTACTGAAATGGCTGCACTGTAGGTACATTGTGCGTTACTGCTCTGTACTGAGGCGCTGTACCCAGTTCAGTGTCGCGTCAGGTGTCGAACCGTGTCATGGGTGTCAAACCGTGTCGGTGTCACACTGTGCGGTGTCTGGTTTTCGTGTCATTTCCCGGCGGGTGGGGTTCACGTGCAGGGATGGTGACGGACGCGGTCCCCACCGGTCCCGGTCAGACTCAGGCAGGAGTGGAGATATCCACCCCCGTCGTAGTCACTCATGCGGGCCTGGAGTGGCTCCTGAGAATCTTATCAACCCTCAACCAGCAGCTTTTATTTCAATGGCTCGAGAAATGACGCACCAGTAGATACGACCCAACCAGTCTAGCAACCAAACCGAGCTCTGCAAACGCACAGCACCATTCTTGGTTATTCGCGGCTCGCGCCATGCTCACCAGTTTTCTCGTCTCCCCACTGGTATATCTGACCGGTGACTGACCTTCAATATGCGTCAGGTCAGTGTCAGGCCCGCGTGAGTGACTTCACTCTGACTAGCGCCGTTCGCTGAGCCCTCTGCACAGGGGCCGCGCCCGTCTCCCCTCCCCCCGTCTCCCCCTCCCCTCTCTCCCCTCCCCACACTCAATCCATGCATTCATCCGGGCTCTGCTGAAAAGGTGTGCAAAGCTGGGTGGGTGTCATTATTAGGACTCATGAATACTTCTGGCAAGTATTGAAATTAGTTGAAACTGAATTTACAATGAATATTTTCCGGATTGTTGATGAATTTTGAGTGTTTATTGAAGAAAAGAAACATTTTTTTTTTTTGGTCCCCTCTCGGTATCGCTTAGAATTGGGTTCTGTGAGGGGCGTCTTTGACAGTCATTTTGTATGATTGCGACTTTGGTTCGACTGTTTCCGCCGTATATCCGCCAGTGTTTGATGGAGATACCGACACAATCGTGCAATAAAAACATGTTACTGAATGTATTCACATGTGCTCCACGCTGTTTCTATGCGACCGGCTGATAAATCATATTTACACCAATCATCCAGAGTTAGTACAAACTAACAGTTTGCAGATGGCTGACATTTAACACTGACATGCGGAGGTCAAACCAATGACTCAGTGACAAGTTCGACAAGTTCACGATAAACCTGTGAACATGATCTTTCTGTTTTCCACTAAGCCGAAATGTCGAAGAGCTGATAAAAAGTTGACTTTGGGTGACCTCATTGCTCAACGCTCACTAAATAGTAAATACCAAACCAAAGTTGCCGAAGTACCGTCAAAGTTATTTTAGCGAAATTTCGACTGTCACATCCGCATGATTCCCCATTATCTAATGCGACCCAAGAAAAAAGATGGGTTAGAAGGGTAATTAGTGCCCCATTCGCCCGCCTTAGTACTCCAGCAGGGCGTGGAAAATCAAGAACCCAGCGGACGTGCTGACTGCTGTCTGCTGTTCCAAACAAAACTCGCGCCCCACTGGGGGGGGGGGCTATTTATAGCCCCCCCCCCCTCCCGTTTTTCTGCAATAACTTCCAAACCGCTTGACATATCAACGCCAAACTTTCAGTACCTTTGGCTGCCTCAATTTGACACCTTGTGTGAAAATTTGAACTTCGTACCTACCATAGGTCGGCCGGAAATGACGTCAGAGTGACGTCATGTTCGGCCAATTTCGACGCAAAACATTGAACCACGGCAATCGCTCCCAAGAGCTCAGTTTTTAAGCTAGATCCAATTTCTTTGCATGAGAGGTCTCAGAATAGACTGCGCTATCAAACTGCTATCTCGGATTTTCGAAATTTTGAAAATTTCGAAAAATTTATATAATAAAATTCAAAATTTATATTTTTACATTTTTTTCAAAAGTTTTTTGACTTTTCGAAAAAACCGGAATATATGTGATAGAACGCATTATTATGACTAACTCTAGCAAGTTTTAGCTAAATATCTTCAAAAATGGCCAAGTTATACGCATTATTGCAAAAAAATTAACAATTATTAATTTTTCAAATCAATTTTTCAGCACGAATTTGACATCGTACGCCAATATAAATAGCACCATCGTGTTCCTGAGCTCAAACTGCATCCAATAGACACCTTTTTTGTTGAAAAATTTTAACTTCAAAATTTGACCTTTTTTGACCTGAAAGTGACCTGACCTGAGCTAAATTTGACTCAAAATGACCTCGAATGACAAAGACGACATCAAATTCGAAATTTTTGGCCTAAATGGACCATAAAACATGTGTCACGTGACCGACGGATGATATAATATTTTCGTGACCTGCGATGACCTGACCTTGACCTGAAAATCAAAGTACAAGTTTGGTACCCTCAGGGTATCTAGAGCATCTGTTCACGAGTGTGTGAACCAAAAATGAGCCTGATCTGACTTGTAAGACGGCGGCCAGAGCCCAAAACGTGAAGAAGCCAAAATGCTAATAATTTTTACTTTGACCTGACCTGTGACGTCATCGGTGACCTCGAGGTCAATGAAATTAGGTTTCGCTCGAGTTTTTCCGGGGCTATCAGACGCCGTTTGAATTTTGACGATCGGCCCAGTAGTTTCGGAGTCAGGAGGGGGGCTATGAATAGCCCCCCCCCCCCCCCCCCCAGTAGGGCGTGTTATACGCAGACCCCAGTGGGGCGCGGGTTAATAGTGACATTCCCGATAATTGTCAAAGATGTCGTCCATGCAGTATAGGCTATAATCTACAAGCTGCCGACGCCTTAGCTCATAGTTTACTTTCCCTCTCAAGAATGTCTGCACGACTCTGCGGATCAGTTCAGATCACGTGGCTTGGTGCCGACGGCTAGCAACATCTAGCGGTCAGTGGTAACAATCGAACCAGACTGTCGAGCAGCGGCCTGTTACCAGCAGCTCCGATCACGGACAACCCATTACGACAGCAGCTGCCGCACCCGAGGCACAGCCGTTTTATCGTGAACACGACAGGCCCATATGAAACAATTGAATCAATGCTCGCCCACGGAATACCAAAGCATACATTCAGCTCGTAGCCACATCTCTCAGGCAGGGCCGGCCCCGATCCGGAGGTCACGACACTTGAGCAGGCGCATGCAAAGTGAGCAATCTCTGCCGAAAGCCTCCAAATCCGCCGGATGGCCACAGCACGTGAGCAATCGTCCCGGCTACACGCAGTTCTGACCGGGGATCCTGGCGGGCCACGGGCGCGCACGGACGGACGACGGCCAGTGAAAGAATGCTAGGTGATGTATCAGCGCGAGCACATCCCGCTGACGTCCAGTGACGTGTGTGATGTCACGGACTGACGTGTGACGCCGCTTTTCTGGGCGGTCGGCGGCGGCGCCGAGCTGCGGAAGCTCCATATCGGTGCCGGCGCCGCTCGCCGGCCACCAAGACGGATCGGGCCGATCGGTCTTCATAGGAGCAGGCGAGATGAGCGGCGCAGAGACAGCCGGCAGACGAGAGACGACTGGCGACTTACGGCAGACGAGATATGATGCGCGACTTACGGCAGACGAAGGGCGATTGGTGACTGACGGCAAACGAGAGACGGATGGCGACTGAATTCGGAATGCAGACGCCTGATGGTTGGAAGTAAACTTAGTGACTGTTGGCGACTTATGAGAGACATTGGTTACTGGAGGCGTACTCGTACTCGTACTCGTACATGCCTATGTAGTGTTAGCACTGCGTTTTGGTTTTGGCTTTAGTTTGAGAATATGGCCAATGGCCATCGGCGCAGGTCAATATTAAACTCTTTTGGTGTTGCTAATTTGCCAAATTTAGGAGCTGCTTGCTCTTTGCGCTATTTCTATAGAACTTTGCAACCTATACGGAGAAAAATAAAGTGAAGTGCAGCTCTCGTTGTGCTATTAAATGACAAATACTTAGAAAGCCTGATTCAACACAATCTCAGGTGCATGAGGAAAATGCGACCTCGAAGGGGTGACGGCGGTAGAAGTTTGTCATAAGGCTCGGTCGGAGGCGCTAGTCGGAGCGGTTGGACGCGGCGCTGGCGGGCCGTGGAACTGATTCC